CAACTTGTGGTCTACCATGACACCCAGGTCCTTCTGTGCAGAGCTGCTCTGCAGAAGGTCGGTCCCCAGGCTGTACTGGTGTCTGGGGTTATTCCTCCCCAGCTGCAGGACCTTAATATATACGTGTGTGTGTGTGTTTGTGTATATGTATGTATATGCACCTCTAAGTATGAAAAATAAATTGATAGATTGGTGTATCTCCCTATAGCAGCAATGATTTAGCTAGAAGGGTTCACAACATCCATATGCAGAGACTCTCTAAACCCAGAAGACCTCTGTTAACGATTCACGCCATGCTCCTTGGAGGCTGCTAGTTAAATAATTAATTGGTGCCAGCTGCTATGGAGCGCAGCGGCGATGCAGGCTTGAGGGGATGCAGTGTCCCCAAGGCAGGCGGCGAGCAGGCAGGGGTGCTGCTGGAGCTGCCCTGCAGGAGCCGGGGCTCCTTTGCCGGGATGCAGTGTGACGCCGGCCTGGCCTGGCTCGGCTCTGCTCTGTCTGGGCCCATCCGTGATCCAGGGTGGACACCCAGCTTAAGTGATTCGGCATTAGTCAAAGCCCAGTTCAGGAAAGCATCTGCCTTTTAGGACAACCCTTTGAAGCTGTGCCTTACCAGTTTCTGCGAGCTGAGTGCCTTCCTTAATGTGCTCGTTAGGCCATTAAGATTACACAGCAGATTTAAGAAGTTGTTTTTATTCCATTATCTGATAGCTCCTCAGCCAAGCCTACATATAAAATGCTGAGCCGGACTGGATGGACAAAGCGTTCAGTTTAGGAGCCAAAAACTGTTTTGGGCTGAGGAAAAAACAAAATTTTGGGGCTTCACCATACTCCAGAGCTCTCATTCCCTTCCCTCTCGGCAGTGCTGTTATTTTGTCTCCCTTGCAGACCTGAAAGACCTTTGCTAACCACACAAGCTCTGGTCCTTGAGGGCTGCTACCTAATTAGTGAGGTAATTCCTCCAGCTGATGGAGCAGAGGGTGGGAAGGACACTGGCTGGTGTCCGTCCTCTCCCCAGTGCTTCAGAAAATATCCTCAGCTCCTCATGGACAGTCCATTGATTTTAGGCCATTTACCTACCTAAAAAGGCTCCATAGCACAACCTTTATCCTTTTTCTTTTATTTTTCTTTTTTTTCCCTCCCCTTTAATATTTTATTCTGCATTCAAATTAATCCATCTGGATTTTTGATATCAGTCCCTATCCCACTGGGTTTGCTTGTAATCAGTTACATATGTGTCTCCTGGGCTTCTGCAGAGCGTATAGAGGTGTTCCTATCAGTTTCTCTTCCAGTGAGCACTAATGTAAATAGAAGTCACTTTATGGCTCTTCCCAGAAAGCAGGAGTGGTTGTGAATTCACAGAAATGATTTGTATGCAAGCTCGAACAGTCTTGTATATTTTAGTGCAGAGCTGAAAGTCTGATGGCCTGGCCTGTAGCCTCAGTCGCACTGATGAGCACCCACGACAAGTCCAATCATGCAGGTTGCTCCAGGTTGAATTATTTGAGACAGTGTTCAGTATTTGGGAAACAAGTTTGTATCTGCGCTATACACGCTTGTGTATATACTTGCTGTGATCCGATCGCGGTTGTCAGTATTATCCTTGCTGCAAGAATCTTTCTATCCCTCAGCTGAGGAGAAGACTGGAATCTGCAGCTGCTGGTGGTGTCAGTACGTCCTGTGGGTGGAAGGACTTTGTTCAGGGTCCGATGTCCACCTGCACACTTTACTGTGGGGAGGAAAGGAGAATAGGGCTTGGAAAAGCCTTTTTTTTTTTTTTTTTGCCCCTGGAAATGAAAGGAGTTGAAATTATTAGAGAATCCTGTTCAGGGCACAGACTACAGAGGTTGTTTTTCTCCTGTCTCTAAGAAATGCCATGCACGGAGCTGTCAAAACTTGGATATCTCTGCCTGAACTAAAAATGGAGAGGGAAAGAAATATTGCTGGGATTGCAAAGGCAACGTTGCTTTTGCTGCTTCTGCACCCAGTCTAGGGTGAGACCAGCCAAGCCCAGGGGCTCTAGTGTCTGGCACCAGTGTCTGACGCACCAGCTTGCTCATCCCTTCTCTTCCCATAGGTCCGTCCTGGATTGTATCTGATTGCCTAGGTCCTCTAGACCTTTTCTATTTTTTTTTTCCTTGTGTCACCATTTCTTCTTCTCTCATATGTCACCGTGCAGATCCTGACGGGGGAGGACTGGAACGCAGTGATGTACCACGGGATCGAGTCGCAAGGTGGTGTCCGCTCAGGAATGTTTTCCTCCATTTACTTCATCGTCCTGACATTGTTTGGTAACTGTATCCTTATACCCTGGTTTGCATTAGTAGCGCCATGTGTCCTGCACTCCTCCCCAGCACACAGAGGTGACCACCATGGAGGGTGGAACAGGCCCTGGGCAGGGACACCTGGGTTGCTCATTCTGTCACGGGGTGGACGTGCTCAACTGGGTTTTAGCCAAGTTAAAAAATTACTACTTTACCGTTTACGTTACCTCTCTAATCCAAGTACATGTTTCCTAACTCTGAGCTGCTAGAAATATCTGGTTTATTTTAAATGCTTCCTGCTCAGCATGCTTTTTAAGACCAGATCATTGCTATAGCTTCACTCCTTATAGAACCAGAGTCAGCAGGGTTAAAGCAGGCGCAGGCAGGTTGCCTGTGCCAGCAACATGTTTCTGATTGCAATGTGAATGTGGTCTTCATTTCAAGGTTTACATATTAGATTAAGGACACTCTATTGTGAATTAATTTGCATTGTGGGAAGAACGATTTATATCAAATCAGAAAGGGTCTTTGTACCCCGGGTATGTTCACGGATAGTTTGCACCGGGAACAAAGAGCTGAAATTGGTTTGGAGTATTAGATCAGGCCTCTTGTTTGATCCCTCCCTTTGTCTTCAAGACAGTTTAAGCAGCTACTGATGATAAAAATGCCTTAAATTGTCTTGTCCCTATGTAAGTGCTTTAAAGTTGACTCCAGATCTTCATTCTCAGGCTCTGAGAGCATTGGGTGATGCTCCAAGACCAAATACCTGAGATCTGTGAAGTTGTTTTGTTCTGCTTCGCCATGGAAATCTGCCCGGGGCAAACAGGAGACGGGCGCTCGCCTCCCCCCGAAGGCCCTGGGCGCCCAGCAGTAGATTTGCCATGTTCGTGTCCCCAGACACCTCTGAGAAGGCAAGAAAGTACGTCAAGTGCAGCAAGGATTTGAAAGGGAGGATGGATTTTATACGTGTTTATATGAAAAGCAGCGGAGAGCAGCTTGGTGCTGGTGGCCGGGCACGATGAGGAGAGCCAGTAGAGCACGGTGAAGGCTCTATCGCGCCTCGCGGTGGGGACTGTCAGTGGGATGGCGATGTGTAGCATTGCTCATGCTAACTAGGTAGAAAATTGTGGGGATGAGATGTTTGTAGCAGAGAGAAACAGAGCATCCTTGCAAATAGAAACTAGAAAAGTCTTGCATGTGTGAGGCAATGTAGCCGATTTGTTTGTTCTGGAAAACAGGGATAAGACTGCTGAGCGTTGCAGCTCTGCTTGGGAGCCCCCATACTGTTTCCCAGCGGTGCGAACCTTACAGTTCTGTGTGCTCTGTGTTTCCTTGGAGTCTTACCTGGATTAGCAGCATTGGCTGGTAGCTGCCATGCGAGGGGAAGGGCAATGGGGTGCGATACTTGTACTGAATTGTTGCACATAGACTTGTTCATCCCTTCAGCTGGCGGTTGAGAGGGGAAGATATGGGGCATAGGCATGTGCTGAGTGAGGAGGAGGGCTCTGGTTCTTTGTTTTGCATGAAACGTCCCCATGAAGCGTGAGGGACTGTGACAGGAACAGCAGAGCGGCAACATGGGAGTTGTACTTGTCACAGAAGTGTGTCTCTGTGGAATTTGCCCTGTAAATGTGCACTTCTAGAGCAACAGTAAGTGTGACACATGGGCTAGTTTGGCAGTCAGGCACAGGCATCCACCTCATGGCAGTCAACCTGCTCCCTTCAGAAACATGAGGCTTTTAAGAACTGGGTCAATGGAGAGCTGCATGAGAGGGAGAGCTCTCAATCCCGAGGGCTTGGCATTTGGAAATGAGATTAAGCTGTAAGCACGCCTGACAGCAAGGCTGAGAGAGAGAGAGGCTTAACCTTAGAGCGACTAAGATTCAGCATTTTAAAAGGACAGGATATCAAGCCCCTTTTATTAAATGAGGGAGCTTCTCTCTTGACCGTTACGTTTTGTTAGAAGGGGAAGAGCAGGGGGATGATGTCTCGGGCAGTCAGTGCCGCCGCCTCCAGAGCCGGCTACAGGCCTGGCTCGCGGGGAGAGGCCGCCGCCGGGCGGGCTCCTGGGGCTGCCCCAGCTGGAGCAGCCTCTGTGCTGGCCATGGTTGTACGGCCTTCTCCTGTGCTTCATCCTTCCTGTGATCCTCGCACACAGCATGAGAACACATCCACCTCCTCGCTGGGAAGCGAGACGACTCACCCCCGTACCTGCTTCTCTGTGGTAATTTGTTGAAATTGAAATTCGTCTGAAACATCAGTGGGTTCTTCCCACCCCTCTACCTTTGCTGGCTGTTCCCAGAAGCCTTGAAATCTTCTATAGCATTAGTTTTTCTAATTTGCTGTTGCTTATCTGTGAAATATTTCACCAAGGCAGAGGGCAGACCAGATGCTAAAGGATCAGCATAAAATAATGGTCTCTGTCTGAAGTATTTGGACACAATTGACTGGTTGGGTGGGCTGAGCAAACCCCACCAGTGTTATTTTGCCTACAAAGGAGACCTCATGTTGCAGAGCAAAACTATGCATCAGAGTTCCTCCTTAGCTGCTGGTTGGATACATAAGAAGGTTATAGCTGGGGAAATGCAATTTTAAAGGCATTTTAATGAAGTAGATCTTTCAGTATTTATTATTTGCAGTGGTTTTCTTTATTTCCCCTTTGAGTGATTGGCAGTTGATGTGATCCTGCACTCCAGAGCTCTTCACATTAGAGGCTCAGTTGCTGCTTGTGCAGGACAGTCCCCGCTGGTGATGTGCCCGAAGCTGGTGGCAGTTCCAGTGTCACCAGAGAGAGCCTCTGGGCATGGGGAGAAGGAGGTGAAAAGACCAGAAATCATTTTATAATGGAGCAAATTGATTGAAGAAAACTTCACCTGCTTCTTGATATAAACCTGAAGCAAATCTATGGAGATTCACATCCTTGTAGGAGACTCAGAGATTTGCACCAGGTTTCTTTTATAGAAATAGGTCAGTCTGAGAGGCCCAGTGCGATCTCAGAGAATTTGGAGTGCTCTTCTGCGTGGACGTGTTTGCCCTTGAGCTTCCTGGGGTGAGGATGAGGCTGGAGGCTACCTTTTTTCCCAGCTATCAGGTGTGGAGTCGTGACCAGCCCTCCCGAGGCAGGCTCCAGGGCAGCCCGGGCCTTCTGCTTTGTGCCTTCTCATTTTGATTTTCTCGCATCACACATTGAAAGCAGTTTCCTAAGCCCCATCTGGAAGGCTGAGCAGCAGCCAAACAAAAGGCATTTCAGTTCCTTTGCTGGCAGTAGATTTATTTTTACTTTTTTAACATCAATATTTGGTGAGTTCATTTTTATGAACTTAGAAGGACTGAATCATTTCTTTTCTTTTGAGAAGCAGAGCTAGTGATTTGGGGTCAGTTTGCAAAATCTGCCCTTTTTGAGCATAAGGGATTCCTTTGCTCTCTCCGAGCTGCTTGGGGCTTTTTAATTGGTCCTAGTCATAAAAACTAGGTATGTGGTGGGTGCTGACTTCCCCTGCTGCTTATTGCAACTCTGTTGCTTCTTTGAATCCGTTTATATTTTTCAAGAGGCTTTGCAAGGAGAAGAACCAAAAGCTTTGCTTTTATAAAGAGGAAGTCTCCTACATTACATCTCTTGTTCCACAGAAGGATTTGGCCCGCTTTTGGGGAAATGACACTGTGTCTGCATTCATCGTTATCCCGTAAAGTGATATATCTGTTGGAGGGAGTAAAGAAACACCTGCACCCCTCCCAAATCTTACCCTGTAGACCAAAAAGAAGAGGAAACCCCTGCAGAAGAGCCTCAAGCGCAGGCTCTTGGGAAGTGCCAGCACTCCCAGCCGAGGCCCTGGCTGCCTTTGGCCGCTGCTGCCGTGGGGAGCCTGGCTGGGCTCAGTGCGGTCTGTGAGTGTGTCCAAGGCACGGAGCTGGAGTCTGCACCGTGCCTGGGAAATCCCAGAGCTCGGCCAAAGGGCAGAGGGACCTTTACTGGTCAGGAAACAGCACTTCTACCAGGTTACATCTGCTTAGAGTTGGGTCAAAATGGTCCATTAAAAATATCTGTCTTTCCAGTGACTGATTGTGTTGCATGAGACATTTTGGGAGGGGTGTGTAGGAGGCTGCGGTAGGTAGATAGTTTTATTCGTGAGGCATTTATTCAGTGGGTGGGAGGCTTCGAAGCATTTCCAACATGCTGGAAGCACCCGGAGGAAGGAAGGAACCCAAACGCAGCGCTGCCCGCGGGCCTGGCGCCTCCGCGCCGCCCGTGAAACTGGAGCCCTCCGCTCCAGCCGGTGCTTAAAAGGAGTGGAGAAATCAGTATCTTTGTAAATGAAAGGACGGTGGAGCTCGTGCTTCAGCCAGCCATTCAGGAGACAGCAGTGCGGGTGGAAACCCATGTTTCAGCATCGCCTTCTTTCCCTTTTGCTCGTTATTTGCTGGCTCCCAGGAATGATGTGCTCCCGCCTGTGCTCCTTGCTACCCTGTCTGAGCAGAGGAAGCAGCAAGTGATGGCGATTGGGTTTCAAACCTCCTTCAGATCCAGAGCAATGTTCTGCACACAGTGCAGTCCTCCCTCCCATGCTGCTTGGGGAAGAAGCATGGTGGCCAGGGCTCTGCTTGCAGCATCGCCGGGAGCTCCTGCGTCCCGGCCCCTGCGGGCCTTGGCAGCCGGGATGCAACGGAGCCTAAGCCCTACTGTCCTGTCACGCTCTGGACGAATACAAGTTCTGTTTTCTACTGGTAGGAGCAAATGATCTGGTTTTGATAGTTATTTGGGCTCTGGAGACATTCATTTCAATGGGAATTAAAGACATGGGTGCCTGGTTATAAAATTCTTAATCAGATTGTGTTTGAAGGCTCTTGAGAGGAAAAGCAAAAAGAAAGGCCTGGAGCTGATGGGTGGCCCCTGTGCCAGCGCTCTGCCTGCAGGTCCTTGGCCCTCCTGTGCCAGGGATGGTTGGTGGGACTGGCCCGGGCTCGGTGAACCAGCCTGGCACCGCTCCTGGGCCCTGTTGTTCAGGGAGAAGCCTCGGGCGCCTCCTCGAGGCGGGGCGGCGGGGCCCTGCCTGCTCCCCCTCGCTGCTGCCACTGCACCGCTGTGCACCGTGTCGCCAGCTCGGGCCAAATCCCCTCTGGTTACTTTGGATTAGGTATCTCCCTATAACTACTGCAGCCATTCTACTCATTTTATTGACAGCTCGCTCTGGTCCCAAACTCATATTTTGCCTTGTGCTGGTGAGGATAATACATTGCTATAAAGGCCAGAGAGCAAATATGTGCTAGATCACCTATATTATCATGTATGTTCATATTTAGCATACCTTTCTGAAGCAATTGTGGAGTGATCCTATCTTCTGTCACTGGGTAGTGTTGAAGAACTTAATGCATTTTCTACAGTAATTTAGATGTGGCTGTACTTTGCACACTCTCCCTTTGTATGCAAAGCTATTGGATTTACAATTTTCTCTGGGCTGTTTTGCAGACACATAGGTGGAATAACAACTATAAGATATATGAAGAGACAAGTAACAGCTGAAATCATTAAGGCCCAAGAATGAAAATAATAAATGACCTAATATTTGAAGGGAAATCTTATGTCTGAAGAATATAACACAATTATACAGAGAGATTCTGGCTGGCAGGGGCATGGGCATTTGTACTGCTGCACTAACGAGCCATTTGGCCTGGCCCAGCAGCCTGCGGCCCAGCAGAGCTGATTAGCTGTGGCAGAGCCCTGCTAACAGGCTCTCGTGCTGTCGTGCTCCGCGTGACGCTGCAGGGTTCGCAGGGAGGAGGGCAAGACTGATCCAATTGTCATATTGACTTGGATGTGGTAAGTCATGAGAATTTCCTCCCACTGATGCGTAACACAGCAGTGACATAAACCTAACTTTTTCAAAAAGCTGAGTGCTTTTATATAGCTGTACATTTATGTTATGCAAATGTTGTCATTAACATGACCAGTTTCCCAGGGACTGTTGCTTGTCTATAAGAGAGGAAGGCAGATGGCAAGAATCTGGTGTCTGTACAGGCATGGGTGTGGATTTTCTGGGAGGATGGAGCAGGGACTTTTGCATGTCTTAACGCCCCCACGGGATGCCTAATCAATTGCACCTATAGTACTGTAAAGCCCATCTGCTCAGCATATGATTATGACGTGTGGGTTGGTAAAGAGACAGAGAATACCCCTTATGCTGTAGAGCCAGGTCCTGGCAGATCTGAGTGCATCATAAATGAAGAAGACAAAACAGTGGTGCAAGGGGTCAGTCTATAATATACTGAAGATTTTAAGTGCGTGAAGAAGGGTGCTGACAGCAAAAGAGGAATTATTTTGTGTATTTGCTGTATGCAAACTTTTCCTTAGCTGCTCCTCCAAAGATACACTTCTGAACGTCTTCTTGGCTATTGCTGTTGACAACCTTGCAAACGCACAAGAACTCACCAAGGTATGTGCAAGATTACTGTTTTTTCAGACTTTGCCGAGCGCTGTGGCAGGTTGTCTCCCTTCTCCCCGAGCAGCTGAGATTTCTCACGTCCCACCATCACCTCCCCAAATGCACACGAGCTTGGACACAGCTGCTGCATCTGCGGCGTCTCTGACCCGTCCCTTGAGACACGATGCCCTGGTTTCCTAAAGAGTCTGTTTGTGCAGTACCTGGATAGCAACTGCCATTGCGGAGTCCTTTGGTGAGGACTTTGGTGAGGAAGTTTACTCTCATTCACTTTGGCTTCATTACAGAGGCTGGTTTCCATGAACCATCTCATATTCCTTAAGTTCTTTTTATCATGGAGTGTTGCTCCTGTGCGCGGGTCCACAGGCATTCCTAGCAATCGTTGTTCTCAAGAGCAGAGGCAAAACATCGAAAGGGTTTTGGCTGATTCAGTACTTGAGGCTTAGGAGAGAGCAAATGCAGGTGTTGTATTGCTGCTTTCGCTGTTTCATGCTAATGCTTTGTACCTTGCTGAGTTTCGGGATGAATCAAAGATTTAAAATTCTCCATTGGCTGTATGGAAAAAACTTGAAGAGGCTTTTGTGAAATTTCAGTCAAGATCCTAAAAGTCTCCTGGCTCTCACGAGGTGGAAGACACCAGCCACAGCACGGGCAGAAAGCGGGGCCCTGAGAGGAGCTGGCACTGATGCAGCTCTGCTGTGTGCTCAGGTTTATGCTGCAGCATTCCTTAGGGAGAACAGATGTACAATCTGAATCTGTGCAGGAAGGATCCTAAATGCTGCAGTTTCTCTTCATATTACATGCTTTTGACCTCTCGTAGAATATGGCATGTTTATGAGGCTGCATCACATTTTGTTTGCATTTTTCTAGCTTGCTCTCACCATGCAGATAAAAATATTTCTGTCTGGTGGTTATGCCTGCCTGAGTGCTATCAATTGTGGTGACCTGCTAGATTATAAAGAGCATTGTGTCCATCTTGGCATTCATATTTCACTAACTTTATCTTGGCTACTCCTTACAGGGGAAGGTGGTCCACTAGCCATGGCCTTTAGTAGTGGCTGGTAGGGCTGCTTTCCCTCGCTGGAACTGCAGAAATACTCAGCTCTTCCTGTGCTTTCCGGAGGCTGCAGAAGTCTCTGGCTTGGAGGGACACATCTTCTCAGCCCTCCTTAGCAGGGGATTCGTGAGCAGCCCTTCTGTGTGCTGAGAGATCAGGCCCAGCACAGTTGCTGGAGAATGAAGCTCATCCTACATCTTAATCCTTTTAATGCTTAATGCTTCTTGCTGAATATTTCAGCAGCTGACTGGGTTGGTTAGAAACCTCACTGTTGATGTTTATAAAGTATAATTAAATATTGATGGATTCAGCAGCATTGCCAAATCATAAAGCTTCTTCTGAAACTCTTTTTTTTTGCTTTAATTTTCTTTATGATCCCCCCTCCCCCAAATCACTGGGGCTTTCAAAAGAAGAGGAAAAATAGATAAAAAATAATTCAATTATATAGCATACCTGATGAATTGAGGGATTTGTTGCTGAGTAAATATGATCATGAAAAAATCAAAAATGGCCTGGGGATATAATTAAGTTACTCTGGAGTCAGTTGATCTCAGGAGACTTTCTTGACACTTACGCTGTAAAACTAATCAAGATCAGTGCTGCATATAATGGGGAAAACTATAAGCTGCCTGCAACTGCTTCTGTTTCGGAAAGACAAAGTTTTCCAACTAGCCTTCATGTCTGGAGCATTTCAATCAGTATTTTCAGTTTTGGATATAGAACAAGGCTTAATTTATCACAACATTTGAATTTCCTGGGCGATTTAGCTGGGCCTTGACCTTAATGGAAAGTGTTAGAATTGTAGCTATGTTTAATTTGGTGTATATAGAGAGACTCTATCCTTCAGCCTCACCTCTTCCTCACCTGCCTCCCTCCCCAGGTCTCTCTTACTCCCTTCTCTGCTAGTGCAAACTTATAAATGACTTAAACTCTCCCAACTTTGCTTCTAGTGGTTTCCTAGATCTTCCCGAATCCCTTTGGATTTCAAATCTTTGGAAAATCTCTCCCATTTTTCCATCTACTGACGTTTTTCCTCCCTGTCTACTTAGAAAGGTTTCTAAAACTGTCCCAAAGCTCTGCTTTTGAAATCTTCTCTCTGCTGGCAGTCCTGTGATGTCTCTGATGTCAAACAGCACCTTGTTCTGCATCCTGATGAAACGGGCGTGTAAATCATCTCAGGGTGACCAGGGAAACCCTGGTCTTCCTAAATGTCCTAGAGTGCCTGCTGAGAGCAGAGTACATCCTCCTGCCAACAGTCACGGGGATGGCAGTATAAGGTCACATGCTGCGGAGCAGGAGCGATGTATTTCTCTTCCAGGTACACCGGGAAGGAGAACAGAAATCACGGTTCTGCTTGGTGGGAACTTGAAACGCCAACACAGGTTAAAAATCCCCACCTATGAACTGTGGGTTATGTAGAAGGCTGAGCATAACCATCTTTCTATCAGCACTTTAACACAGCTTCTCCATGGTGGGGTCCGTCGGATCCTTGACTGCTCATTGGATTTACTGTTTTACAAAGTCCCTTTGGCCAGAAGTCAGGAAGGCGTTAGGAGTCCGTGTCCCACAGGTTTCAGGATGATGCAGGTCTTTGAATGCTTTCATGCACGCAAGTCCCGAGGTACCTAGGAGTCCCTCTGCTCTAGGAATGTTGGACTTTGTGTCACTTCTCTCCCTGCTGCAGCCTCCTGGGTAAGGCGAAGCCATAAGAGGCAATTCCTGGGAGAAAAGAGAGCCTGGGCAGGCAGGCTGCTCTTAGAAAAATACAGCAAACCTTGTGTTTCTCCTGCCCAACCAGCTGCTGATGGCAGCAGGACCCTACGGAAGGGCCCGGATGGGTTTCCAGAGGTTCCGCAGCACAGGGTAGCATCATGTGCCCCTTGCCCCTTGCCTTCAACAAGTTCCTGCCACCGTCCGTGCGTGATGCATGCTCTGATTTGTCTTGGTTTCCTTTAACAGGATGAGGAGGAGATGGAAGAAGCTACAAACCAAAAGCTTGCCCTGCAAAAGGCCAAGGAAGTTGCAGAAGTCAGCCCCATGTCTGCAGCTAACATTTCCATAGCCGCGTAAGCGTTATCTTTTATTTTGGGGGAACGTTGTCATTTTTTTTTGCTGTTTTTCAGTATGGGTATATGTCTGTTCAGCTGTAGCATCCCAGAGTACTCTGTAAGCCCCTTTATACTGTCCCCGTTACTTACTGGGCTTTAGGTTGACTGAATACTCTGGTCCTGATCACTTAACCATGTATTTAATTAGGTACTTCTTAAATTTTGCTTTGTTTGTTTGTAATAGCTCATCTTTTGCCTTGCTGTGAATAACTGTGTTTTAGGAGGACTAAATAAGTGTCCTAGGATAGATTTCACCAGGTGAAGAGTCAGCATTTCACTTTGGATTTTTAATTTTGAGGTGTGTGTTTATAACATGGAGTATTGTTTAATAATCTCTGCTTAGAGAATTTAAGCATAAAGACATCCTCCTAAACATCATATTGAAAAAAACTGACTTGAATGTTCATTCTTTGCTTTCTGAAAGTGTTCTGAGATGAAAAAAAGTTTCATATGTGAGCAGTCACTGGTTTACTCTCGGAAGCATCAGTTTGTATTTTCAAGTACGTTTTCACTGCATTGATATGGGCATATGCATAGATTCTGTAATACTGCTTTGGAAGAATGCCTCAAAAATGTTCCTTGGCGCTCACCTTCTCACATATCCTGTTCTTAGCTGGTGTGAAGCATTTGTATGTAGGTGGAAATACTTGTCCAGACATTGCTGGAAATGCTGGTCAACACAAGCTCTGCCCGTCTGGGATTGTGAGTCCTGGGTTTGAAATGTGCTTCCCTTCCCAGTGCTTTATTGATTAAGCACGTTTGTTTGAAGGTGCTTGTAGCTTTTCAGGAGTTGTAGTGCCAGGAATATTGACGTGAAAAAAATCAGTCCTGCATTTTGCTGAGAGCTGCTGGTATTTTCCAACAGCTTCTAATAGGGAAGACCCCAGGAGCTGGGGAAGATGAAGCCTCAGAAAGGAAATTGGTTTTCCTTGGTTTTAATCCAAACTCTCTGGAATGTGGCAGGATCCCAGTTTGGTCCTTTGCTGCAGAGGAACCTCATGAGATCTTTGTTAGTGGGACTGTAAAGCAGTATCATTAAAGCCAGTGGACCAAATGGAGCCCATTCACTATATGAGGAGGATAAAGAATAGTATTTGACAGCAGTTTTATTATTTTAGCATTGTATTTTACAATTATTGCTTTAATCAGCTCCTGTTCATGGCATGTTCATGTGCTGTTTTTCACTATAATCCTTTTCTTACAAGGATTTCCTATCCAGTCTCAGAGAGACCTCCTGTGTGGATATTTGCTCTTGTTCTTTGATGAAGCAAATAATGGAGCTTATTTTCTTCTTTTTTTAAGGAAAGTATAGTACATATGTGGATTATTTGGAAATCAGAAAATCCACTTTAAAGGAGCCAAAAATAACCTTATTCCATGATTTCTCACCTGACTTTCACCTAGTTTTCAGTATCACAGGTCCAGATTTATAATCCCATTTGAAAGTGAGTACAAAATTGTGGCTTTCTTATTCTGTCTCAGATTGTGTCTGTCCAGATTTCTGCAGAAAGCAGAGTTGCTGGATGCCCTCTTTGCTTTGGTGTTTACCAAAGGAAGGCAGCCCTTTAGAGCCCCAGGCCTTAAGGACAAGAGAGGAAGCCTGGAGAGAGGAAGACTTGCCCTGGCTAGAGGAAGATTGGGTCAGAGAGCACCTAAGGAAACTCGATACCCACAGATCCATGGGCCCTGATGGGATGCACCCCAGAGTGCTGCAGGAGCTGGCAGAGGTCATAGCTAAGACGCTCTGCATCATCTTTGAAAGATCCTGGAGAACGGGGGAGGTGCCGGAAGACTGGAAGAAGGCCAATGTCACGCCAGTCTTCAAAAAAGGCAAGAAGGAGGGCCCAGGCAGCTACAGGCCAGTGAGCCTCACCTCTGTCCCCAGAAAAGTGATAGAATGGCTCATACTGGCTGTTGTCTCCAGGCACATGGAGGACAAGAAGGTGCTCAAGAGTAGTCAGCATGAATTCACCAAGGGGAAATCTTGCTACACTAACCTGATAGCCTTCTATGATGGAATGACCGGCTGGATAGATGAGGGAAGAGCAGTGGATGTCGTCTATATAAACTTCACCAAGGCTTTTGACACCGTCCCTCACAATATCCTCCTGGGCAAACTCCAGAAGTGTGGGATAGATGAGTG